TGTCTGGACCTCTAGGCCATGTCCGGTGGGGTGAAAGGACACTTAAAAATCACCCCGTTATTTTTCGAGGGGCGGCTAGGACCCGACAAACGTCCTGGGCCGCCCCATTTATTTTAAATTTTTTTGCCCCAGGGACCTCCATCCAGACATGGGGACCGGACACCGAACACCGGACACCGGACACCAGACACCGGACAGCGGACTGTCTGGAACCCGGTCCAGACGTCCGGGCATTTACCATGAGAGAAACACAAAGAAAAGAGAGTGAGAAACTGGACAAAACTGTCAACAAAAAAAAGAGCAAAAGTGGACACGCTTAAAAAAAAAAAAAAAAAAAAAAAAAAGGACACTCAGACTCGAGTTGTGTACCAATTACTACCAATTCAACCGTGGATACTTGTCTCAATACCACACTTCCATCAGATTCCCTTTGCAAGTGAGGCCAGTTCTGGACTTCAATATTCTTTTTCCTTTTTCAATTTTCAAATCTACCAAGGCCCACGTATCATGGGGGGGTACAATTGCACTTTCTTTATTCTCTTTCTTTTTCTTTCTTTTTTAACGCCCAGGTTGTTGTAGAAGAAGAGAGCAGAGTGGCCTGTTTGGAAAACAAGGCCAGCCAAACCAGTCAGAATATCAGTGGGGCTGCCTGGACCCTGGCAGGGCGAGGCAAGATCCGGAGTCTTCCGAAGGCCTTAGTTGAGATTCCAGCCTCCAAATATAGGGAGAGGCCCAAAAGACAGCAGCAAAGTCTGGTCAGGCAGAAGCCATCAGGTCGCTTGAGCACAGAAGCAGATGCGGGCAGCACAACAGCAGCGCCAGCGGCCAGGAGAGGAAGGTCGTGCCAGCCATAGCTGGGATAGACGCCGAATAGAAGGAGAGGTGTTGCACGGAGGGACAGAAGACCGTGGGGAGAAGGCAGCGAGGTACATACCTGGGGGGAAATGCCCAAGAAGAGCTCCAGCGCGAGCATCAGTGGGAGCAGCATTGTACTCTCCACAGCATCGCATATTGGCATAGCGTACGCCAGAGTATCAGATAGAGTAGGTGATCGTATAGGCTACCGTCTTTCCCAGAACATAACGCATACGCGTTGTAAACAGATACAACGCATAGGTTGCTTTCTATTAGAATACACAGCATATGTGTTCTTTTCAAACAGCCCTTATATTCGAATACAACGCACAAGCCTTTTATTTGAATCGTCAATTTTTTTTTGCAATCTCGAATGCAACACATATGCCTTTTGTTCGGGGGAAGACGGGTAGTAGTGCGATACATTCTTCATTCGAGCATCGGTGGGAGCAGCATTCCACTCTCCGCGGCATCGCATATTGGAATAGTGTAGGCCAGAGGATCAGATAGAGTAGGTGATCACATACATAGGCTACCGTCTTTCCCAGAACAAAACGCATACGCAATGTAAACGGATACAACGCATAGGTTGCTTTCTATTAGAATACAACGTATGTGTTATTTTCGAACAGCCCTTATATTCGAATACAACGCACATCAGTGCTGAAAACCCGGTAGGACCGGGGGGTCCTCCCCCAACCGGAGCCGGACCGGTCCTAACGGCCGGTCGACCGGGCCGGTTGCCCCCCGGTTGGCTGT